ATAGTAAGGTCTACTGTACATGAGAAATTGTGGAAAAACTTGGAGTGTCTCAGTCATCAGCAGTTAGGAATTACATTAATTAGGAAAGATAAACAAGTATGGGATATGGCTTTCAAATAACATTATTCAACAGAATTGTCTGCTAGAAACAAAGTGTGAAAGGTTTTGTCTTTGTCATTTTAAGTAGTTCTAGCTTCAAATGCATAGAAATATATAAAGACATTACGTATGACTCAACCCAATACATGTTGAGTTGTTCTTAGATGCATAAAATAGAGAAGTGAAAAATCTTTCCTAGTAATGAGAAAGGCAAAATAAATGAATTAATGTAGTGAAAAGAAAGAAAATGGTTCATAGTGGTTGCCCACAAAATATACATATTTATGTAATGAACACTATTTCAGGTAATTGAACTGCAATTTTCAAATTGCAGACCTGTATAGTACATTCCCACTGCCGTCTGTCTGTCCTTTGTTAATCTCGAGAACAGAGTTAGATAGATGAAAATTGAGACCAGATACGGAAAGCTTATTTTTAAATTAAAATATGATTAAAAATCACAGCCTGGCACTGTGATGATATCACGATAAATAACTACTTGTTTAAGCCATAATAATTATTAAACATTATTAGAATAGTAAATGATTATCATCATTTTTTACATTTGTTTGTAAAGATAACAATTAAGGATTTACTTCTACATTAATTTGTCATTTTATAGAAATTAATGTGAAAGTAAATCCATGAAGAATCTAGATCCTGTTACATATGTTTTCTTTATTTTACTAGAATTGTCTTTCACACTAAAAACCACTGAAAATATTTGGCTGATAGAGCCTGCATGTGCAATTGAATTTGAATTCTGGTTAAATATATAGTAAGCCTCAAGTATTTTTAGAGATTTTACACGTCAATCTCCCTGGAACGATATATTTTTTTTTAATGTCTTAGGGAAACCAAACTCTAACTCAAATCATCTCCATAACCACAGTTTGAACTAAGAGCCAAAAGCATTAAACAGATAGAAAAGTCTAAAAATCTATAGTTTATATAAAGTATTATTCTTATCGCTTCCTATGAATATATACATGGATAATTTATTAAATAATTATAAAAATGTTGCCATTCTATCTTATGCCACAAAATGGATTCATTTCTAAATACACTTCTGTAAATTGATATAAACATTCATTTAAATTATGGATTTGAGATTATTTAAATATCTTTTACTTTTATCCGATAATCTATCGATATAATCATGTATTGTAAATGGAAATGAAATCTAACTTAATTTTTTTGTATGTAATTCAAGAAAATGCATTCATTGCTGGCATGTTTGACTTGCGAGGTAGCTTTAACTCAAGATTTGACATCGCCTTTACACCAATCCACTGATGTAACAGTCGAGTAGTGTCGAAAGTTTCATTTTTAACGATGCTACTAAAAGTAATTCTTAATCAAAAATAAATTTTATAATGATTAGAAGCATTTGTGTAACTATTTTCAAATAAAAAACATAATTTTTATTTTTTTTATCCATTGAAATAAAACACGCCTTTTGATTTTTATAATAATTAAATAAGATTTGTGGCCCCAATAAATTTGTTATAAGATGTATTTTCATAACTGACAATTACCAAGAAGAATGAAACATGAGCTTACACATTAAATTTTGTATTATTATAATTATTTGTTAATATATAATAAATATTTAGATTATGTAAATAATATAACAATTTGGTTTTTACAGAGTATTCAAGAAAAGCTCACCAAATGGAAAAGTATGTATATTGTATACTATTTTTATTTTCTGATGTTCAAAAATCATTCAAATTTACTATTACTTGAATTATTAAAATTTTTGTTTACAGATAACAGTTTACTTAGGAAAGAGAGATTTTGTCGATCATATTAGTCATGTTGATCCAATCGGTAAGTTCTAATTTTAACATTTTTTAGAGCATAAAATGTTTTAAGTTTTTAAATTCATCATGCAGTACGATTCAAATGGAAGAAAACAGCGTTTAGTCTGGATGGGAACCGAATCTATGACCTTTGATAATGTACTAATTGCTCTAATTATCTAAACTGCTGTGACACACTTATCCTGTCTTCTGATGGCTTTTGATTGCACTGGGAACAGTTACACATGTCACCTGCTATGAAACAACTGAATGATGATTCGTTAAAAAGGATAGATAACAAGTTCATTAAAATACTTTTAAGTTTATATAATTGATACATATTTTAAAGCAGTTTATTATAAAAATATATATACGAGCGAATAGTGTTTTTACATAACTTCAAAATTTTAAATGTCACTGGCAATTATGTACATAGTTTGTTATGTGAAGAAACAGTGTTTTATAAACACTAATAAAATGTATATATAGTCAAATTAATTGATGCTTATTTCTTTTTAAATCTCTAGATTATTGAATGAACGAAGTTTACTTCAATTTAAATAACAGAAGTGATTTAATTTTAAACAGAAAATTATTATATTCACAAATACTTTGAAATTTAATTTTAACATTTTAGCTTGGAGAAAGATAACTATTATTAAAATTTTTATGGAAAATTTCAATTAGAAAGAAAGTAGAACAGTAAATAATTTTAAAGTGAAATAGGAAAAATCAATAAAAACTTTCAAATATCATTCCTTTTTCTTTATAATCAAATATATGTGGGGTTTAGATGAGTAACATTCCTAAACCGTTAAGACAATAAATTTATGATGGGTTGCGGGGGAGGCGAGGAGAACGAGGGAGAGAGCCAAGTAAGGGGAGAAGTGAGAAAGATGACAGTTGGTGACGACGCGAAAGTGAGAAAGGACAAAAAGACGCTACGAAGGCGAGAATATTATCATTCTATCAAGACGGTTATGACGGTTATGAGCGCTGGATTATTGTCATTTCTATTTCTCTATCTCAATAACTATTCCTACATATATAATAAAGAATAATTAAAACTTAGAGTTTCAGAACATTTGTTAGGTTACACATGCCGTGATTTATTCTTGATTACTACTAAATGATAAGTACACTGAAAAATACATCATTTCTTGAAGTTAATGTGTATTCAAGTTAACTAGAATCGTCTAGTAATTTCAAATTAGCTCGATTTGAAATATTGCTGTTCTAATTTTCTAATATTGATCTAACTGATAATTTAGGAAATAACTTAGATAAAATTAAATTTTCAATATTAATTCTTTCACATTTGTATATAATAGATCGGCATAAATCTGTATTCTCATAAAACAAAAGATGCTTGTAATACAAATCATTCTCACTAATCAACTCTCCTATTGCTTTCATTATTTTAATGTTGCTAAATAATAATAATAATTTTGTAAAGTACTATATTATTTTTCCACCATTTCCAACGATTATCGACACGACTGTGTGCTGGAAATAGCCATTACCTAATGGGTACTTTACACAGATTCAGTCTTATCCTTCTGAAGTAATGTATCATTTCATGTTTTAATCTACAAGTAGATTTAGAAACATCAATATTGCCAGGTGCCATTTTCTTCACAAAGTAACCAAACTCTTCCTTTCGTGAATTTCATTGGAGTTTTATTTGAAATGTCACCAAACATCGAGCAAGCGCACTGAGTGGAATTTGTACTTTATCATCGACACGTCAGAAACACATTGAGTACATTCATAAAATCAAATGAGTTAAATGTCAGGTTACAAACTATTCTAAAAAATAACACACAAATTGAAAAGTAGAATTTTTAAAACAAAGTGTGAATTCAAATGTTAATCAATTAGAAAAATTGATTACACGATTTTAAAAATAAGCCCTCTACAATTGCAGAAAAGTGTTGTTGTAATTAATTGCCATGTTTTTCTAATTAACACTCAAATTCACACTTGCTTCACTGACCAATTAAATGTTGCTCTGTTCTAAAAGTTTTGTTGTTTTATTTGTATGTTCCTTTTTTAGAACAGTTTTAATGTGATAATGATTTGTTAAAAGCCATGAAAAATGTTAGTTTCTCATTAAATTTTATGTTTCTTTTGCTGGATTTCTGGTTTTTTTGCTTTAGTTTTATCCAGTATTAGTTCTACACATTTAAGATTATCACCATTAATAAATTTTTAAATGTGAATCTTCTATTAATTCTATTTAAATTAAAATTTAAATTGAGTTTCTTAAAGAATAATCACATTCAAAAAATTTTGTATTGAATTGTATTGAGTAAAGATAACAGTATTTTACAAAGTTTGTCAAGATTTCAAATGAGATATAAAATTTAAAAAGTTCCAGCAAATATTTTTAATTTTCTAATGTTTTTGGCTATCTATACAGCCATCATCAGGAATGAACTAACGAGATACTATATATAATTGAATATAGGCTTCATAATTATAATTGAATATAGAATTAATAATTATAGGCTTTGATAGAAATCTTAATTTTAGTTTGTCTACTGTTTCTATATTATAACAATTAATTCAAAGTAAACATTAAAACTTAACTTTTAATTTTGATTAGATGGCATAGTGCTGATTGATCCAGACTTTGTAAAGGATCATAAAGTATTCGGTCACGTGCTAGCAGCATTTCGTTACGGTCGAGAAGATTTAGATGTTCTCGGTTTGACATTCCGCAAAGATTTGTATTTAGCATCCGAACAAATTTATCCGCTGGATCCGAACAACAAACGCCCAATGACAAGATTACAAGAAAGACTCATAAAAAAGCTTGGTCCTAATGCATATCCTTTTTATTTTGAGGTAAGCATTACAATCTTATAGATTAATAATAATCTCTGTATATACAGTACAGTTGAGCATTCTTCTGTCAATGATAGAAAAATTAAAACTTTACAGTTATATTTTGAGTTGAATCAATAAAAAACTTCACCAAAATTCATTTTAAAGTATAACTTTAAAATGAATTTTTTAAATCATGAGTAGATATAGAATGTAATTTTAGAATAAATTTTTTGATATACAGTAGCCTCTTGTTATACCACAGATTCGAATATATCATGCTTTTTTTGGTCTTCCAAATTTTAAAAGCATCTTTTAGGGGTCCTGCATCAAGTGTTGAACTTTACAGAATGTTAGATGTTCTAAAATTAGAATCTCTAACATTTTGTAAAATTGGACATATTATGCATGCTTGTAAAAGAGGCCAAAAATGTTCTGTTCTGTATTTAATTCAAATACATGTTTGTTGGAAGATTGTATGCATGGTTTGTAGTGTTTAATTTATCTATGTTCCAGCTGTTATAGCCTTATGTTAAGGGATGAGATTTTATTATGAAACTGATGATAAGAAAATGCATATATGAATGTTCAAATCTTTTATTATAGTCATTTCACATTATATTTATACTGATATAAGTACACTTAATGCTCAAAAGTTAAGCAACAAGTTTAAAAAATTATACTGTTACTTGGATATTTGAAATCAGGAGGAAAAATCTTGTGTACTGTATTGTGATGTAATGTAAACATTGTTTCTGTCTGAACAATTTGCATAAAAAACAATATGAGGGAGTTTTTATGGTGGGTACAATGAATTCATAGTTGTGCTTATCTGAAAAATTTGAGATTGCAGTATTCTTGAAAATGAACAAAAGAAAGATGGAGACTAATAGGATGACTAAATCCTGGACAAAGTCAGTTACAACTAGCAAGATGGCTGAATGTTCATCACAGCATTGTGTACTGTCTTTGGACCAAGTATTCAGAACAATCTTTTGTTTCTGGACATCCAAGGCTATAACTGCAAGACATCATATGTCATACACAGCATATCAGTTTGTTGCAGATCTCTGCATCTATAGGAAGAACACACAGCAAATTGTGTCTTCAAGGCTTCGTCACAGGTCACATGAGAAGGCCAGCAGTTGGTGTCTGTTCAAATATGAATTTGATTACATTGGTCTCGAGTGTGTTAACCGGGTTTAAGACAATGAACCAACATATGGCTTTTTATGGATGTGTCTCGGTACAGTGTCCAAAACAATTACTGACGTGCCTTGATATGAAGAGAGGCTGGAACTCTAACATTTGGGAAAGGCTTATGGTGGAGGTGTTTTGATGGTATGGGCTGGAATATCAATCATCAGCCACACAAATCTTCTGAGATGGTACTATAACAACAGTGAAGTATTGTGATGAAATCCTGGATCTGTATGTTTATATCTTATGACTATGGATACTGATTTTATTTTAATAGATGATGATTCTCATCTCCATAACTCATTTCTTTGCTGAATAACTATGGAGGGAAACAATTGTTCAAACGGGATAACTATTCAAATCACTCAACCTTATCTGTTTTGGACACTCTAGGAGGACTGCAGATTTGACTACCCCTTTGCAAACTATGTAGGAGTTTGTGAAGATCTATTCTTTAATAGTCAGTGAGATTAAAAATATTGTAATGTTTGGAATTACTCTATTCTTGTGAAGGATCTCTCTCTCTCTCTTTTACAAGAATGGAGAAATCCCAAACTCTCTCTTTGAAAGTGCTCTTTTACAAGAATTGCAATTAATCTTGCAGAAACTCATTGTACAAGGGTAGGCTGAAAACTAATGCACACATGCTTGTAATTCACAAATGAAATGACCTTCAGAATGTTACTTTCATATGCCAGGTGGCATATGAAAGTAACATTCCCCTCTATATGCATGCACAGGTTTGAAATTGTTACATTCGTCCAGTATATTTCAAGAAGCAGAAGTATGAAGTCATGTCCTAGTTCTATGTCAATGCGAGTTGAACAGCGTGCTGTTATCAAATTTTTAACTGCTGAAAAAGTGACTCCTACTGAGATTCATCATCGTTTAAAGGCTGTTTATGGTGACGATGCTATTGATAGGTCTATTGTAAATCAATGGGTAATAAAATTTCATGGTTGCGAGCCTAGAAAAGCTGTAATTGTTGATGAAACACGCAGCAGACGTCCGATCACTTCCACAGATGATAAACATTGCAAACTCATCGACGATTTGATTCAAAACAACTGGCGAATCACTCAAAAGTGTATTGTAAACCATATTGGAATATCCAAGGAACAAGTCAGCTTCATTATTGAAAAATTGGGATACCGTAAAATCTGTACACGATGGGTATCACGCCTTCTCACAGACGAGAACAAACAGTGTCAATTGGAATGCTGCGAGCAACTTTTGCAGCACTACCGTGATGAAGGAGACGACTTTCTTTTGAATATTGTGACGGGACGAGTCATGGGTCCATCATTATGACCTGGAAGAGAAAAGACAGAGCACTGAATATTGACATCTGTCTTCTCCTCAGGTGAAAAAGTTCAAAAAACAACCATCTGCAAAAAAACTTCTTTTGACTGTGTTTTGGGATGCTCACCGAGTTTATGTGACCGATTTTTTGGACTGAGGGCCAACGGTAAATTCTTCTCAGTACATACTGACTCTAAAACACCTCCGACGTCAAGTTTGTCGTGCTAGAGGCAGCCTGGCACCAATAATCTTGCAACGTGACAATGCTTGTCCACACACCTTGTGCGCAACTGGAGAGGCTCTGCAAAACCTGAAGTTTGAACCGATTCTACACCCTCCTTATTCCTCCGATCTTGCGCCTTGTGATTTTTATTTTTTCCCTCTACGCAAGGGTAATCATTACACCTCAGACAATGAGATGAAGGCAGCTGTCAAGTCCTGGATTCGAAAAAAGTCTGAAGAATTTTTCAGTGACAGAATGAAAAAACTTGTTACATCTTGGGAGAAATGTGTTAGCCTTAACGGTGACTATGTTGAAAAATAAATACATGATTTTGAAGCTTAAGAATTGTACTTTAATATATTTTTTGCCTGATCTTGCTATTTGTTTTTGTTCATGTTCTACAAGCATGTTCAGCCTACCCTCATATCATTAAAAATCTTATCAATAACATGAATTCTTCCAAGCTTGTATTTTAGCTTGCAGACAATAGCTTAGCATGCTATTGAAATGTCTTCATACTTGTACATGGTAATGTAAAAGTTTGCTGTTTACTAAATTTAACAAAATGTTCAAAAGAATTTTCTCTTGTTGCATACAAAATTGTCATTTGTTATCATATATATTCCATGACACAAAACATTACATATATATATACACAGTAGAGCATTGTTTGTCTGAATCAATTGAGGACTGGGGTTGTTCAGATAACTTATTTTTCAGATTATGTATGAAAAAATATATAAACCTATTCCATGTTGAAATTTTTCTCTGTTGCATGTTGCTTGGAGTTAAATTTTCATTGATGTTAAGCCTAATGAAAATTTTTATAATAATAATCGTGGTTGTTGTATCGTTAAAAATTATTTCTTTACTTTGTACAAACAAAATAAATATTTGAAAAATATAAAAACAAAAAGAATTATACTTTTGTGTTGTGCTGAATCAAACGTTTTTGATACTAGATCAACTCCTACAGTCCTCAGAAAAATACCACACAAAAGTGCCACTGCTGCCAGCTAAAACACACACACCAACAAAAAAAATATTGGAGTAGCCCAAGACATAGCCAAAGGTTGCAGTGCCACAGCACTAGTGGAAATTTAAATTTGCCGACTGGAACACTTTCAGTTAACTGACATTTTGGTTGACCAGCTTTCGGATAAACGACGCTCTATTGTATTATGTTGTTTTGTATCATGGAATATGTGTATAATATGTCTCAATATATATATATTGAGGGGCATCTAGAAATAAAGAATGTTTGACTATAAAAGTATAAAAAAAAGGGAAAAAACAGTAATGATAGTAAAAAAGTTTTATTAAGTAATTATTACAAGACTAGTTAGTTTTCTATGTAGTCACCATTATGATTATAGTGCTTGTCATGGTACAACACTAGTTTTTATAGTGCTTTGTCATAGACTTCTACTGTCATTCTTTTAGCCAGTTAGTGACATACATAGTATACTAGTTGAAAGAAGGGGCTACCTCCTGGTTCCACTCAAAGGTATGACCAGGAGGTTGTAAAGATGGTGAAAGAAGAGGAAGAGAGAAGAAGACAAGTGATGAAAAGGAGAGCAGGGTGATAGTATCATAGGGCACTGCACCGGTAGTTTATTAAATACAAAACAGAAAACATATGTATAAATTATATATAAGATGCACGTAACACAGGTGACAACAAATAATGACTAATACAATTTGTACAAATATAAATAAAGAACATTATAACGTATTTACAATAAATATGTAGATGAACCGGTGAGGACCAAACCACTTGTTTGGTCAAATACAAAAAGAAATCACGATTACATCACTACAAAATAAGTGAAATAATGCACCGAACTTGGGTGACGAAAATATGACAATATCAGGAATGGTTATGTACTGTACATAAGGAAAATGAAAACATAGATACAATGTATATTATATTTGATACTTCCGATTGGGATGTTAAGACTATTCCAGAAGTGGTTAGTGACCGACAAGACAATTCTGGATTTTATAACATATTTCTAATTTACCATGCAACAACTGTTTAGTTGACGTTAAAATTAAAGATATACAACTAAGGATGACACCACATTTACCAGAAACTGTACATTGATTGCAGAGCATTAATGACATAAACCACTAATAAAGAGGTACAAAAAATTATATGCTTGCCGGAATCAACAGTTTGTTCACATTACACACACCGCTTAGTAACAATTATAAAATAAATGTAACCAGGTCTCTTCCCATTTAACACTTAGTTTCACAGCTGAAGCCTTAGTTAGTTACAGCTTCTTTCATCTCTCATCCATTACAAAATGTTTTAAATTCACCCAAAAATTCTTTCAGCTTGGGGAAGAAGTGAAAGCTTGGGAGCCTGCTTGGAACTGTATGGTGGGTGGTCGAAAATGTCCCAGCCAAATTTTTGAAGCACAGCGGCTGCAGTGGTGCAGTTGCTACTATTTTCCTTGATTAAACATTAAACACCATTTTCTCGCACTCGCTTTGTAACATGATCGTCATTCACTTCAATGATTTTTTTTATGAATTTCTATAAAATGAAGTTTTCTTTGCATGTAGAAAACAAATAACACTTCACATTTGGTGGGATTTTCTACTTTTGTACACGTTTTAACCCTTAGAAAAACAATAACAACAAACCTGCCATTATCAAAACTTTACAGGAGCTAAGCTAACACATCAAGGAACAAAATTAACCTTGAATCAATGGAGATAATTTACCTGTGCAGAGTGCTATGTGCAAACGTTCTTTATGTTTTGGATGTCCCTCATATAATGTAATTTCTAATATTTTATGTTATTCTCCAGTAAATTTTAAACTGCTTTTCATGGATACATATCTATTTATATCTTAACAATGTTTTTTGAATTAATAATAATTTAAAATCTGAAATAAATGTTTATATAGCTGCCTCCTCATTGTCCAGCTTCAGTCACATTACAACCAGCACCTGGAGATACTGGTAAACCATGTGGAGTGGATTATGAATTAAAAGCGTATGTAGCAGATACACCTGATGAAAAGCCACATAAAAGGTAATCTTTTCCCCTTAAGCTCTCTATATGACTTGTCACAAACTTACATATATATATGATTTCTAATGAAACATTATTAACGGTTTGATTTTTTTTCATTTCCTACATTCTACAAATTTAAAAAATTTTTAGCAATTACACGTGACTTGTATTGAATTGGCTATTGTTTTTTACCATGTATTTTATTCTATTAACTTTAGATATTTTCTGTTATAATTAATAATTCAGCCATAAATAAATGGATAAAAAAGTATAAAAATTTTCTTTTTGATCCACAAACTCTTTACATTAATAAACAAGCTATACATGATGGTTACTACAAAATACAGGTAGCCCTCGGTTTATGCTGGTTCAATTTACGCCGATTCACAATAATGCTGCTGCGCAATTCACCGCTTCGAGGTGTAATTCCCCGATTTTCCCTATGCTAGACTGATTTTCATTTCAGTGTTGACATTGTACATTCGTTAAAACAAAGATTTTTATTAAATATATTTATTTTTTCTGTTTAATATTATTGGGTATGTATACATTTGCATTAAATTAATATTAAAATACTAAACGTTTAGGTACCCACGAGTCAAGATATTAAACTTAAATAATCCAATAAATGGCGTCCGAATCCATAGTGCCAATGAATGTATCCCGTATCAGTTCATTCAGGAAAACACCTTACGATGCAATAGCACTTCCGGTGATCACAAATTATCGTTAGTGAGACAAATCTACTTCTCGTTGGCCAGACAATATTTATCTCTCCTTAGCCACCTTGAATTTTCCCGCTCAAACTGACCTTATATATGTGCTACGGCGACTGGTGGTCGACCAATCAGTGTCTTTGCTCGTCCGTAGCTCTATGTCGGGTTAATGAATCCTTTCAACTAAGGAAAGTTTGACGGATGAAGTTTGTGAGTTAGACAATGTTGGGAGCGAAGTGCGAATGTAAAAAGGAGCATCATATTCGACCATATTCCGAAATTCTTAATGAAAAATCAAAAATGTAAACAATTAAAGATGGATACTTTTTTCCGAAAAATGTAAGAAATTCGAAACTAAAATTTTTAAATAAAAACATTTTACTTTATTTTATGATAAAATACATTTTAAAAATTAAAAATGTATATGTATTTTGTATTATATTGTATTAATAAACAAAATTATTAGCTTATTTTTCACTTATGTAGAACCTAACCCTATACCTCACTGTAAATACAGGTTCGTTTTACACCGATTCGATTTGCGCCGGCTTTTGTAGGAACGGAACTGCGGCGTAAACCGAGGGCTACCTGTAAATAACTTATATTTTTATATTTTGCTTAATGGTTAGTTGTGTATAATAATGTTCTATTTGTTTGAAATGCAAATAAATATAACAAATGGAGTGCCAATTTGAATATATAATTTAAGCATATCTGTTACATACAATAAAAGTTTAGCATTTATACCACCAGGACCTCCATCCGACGTTCACTTCCAGAACCATTAATTTTGATCATATATCAAAATTAATAATTCTGGAAATGATGATCCAAGATAGCATAATTGGCAACACATCTTTAACATTTATATAAAGCATTTAAAAAACTCTAGATTACTTGATAAAAGTATCAATAAAAATTGTTATTTTTTTGTGATTTTTCTCATGAATTTAGTACTTTGCTGCTATTACCTTTTTCTTTTGGTAGGAGGAATTGTAATATAAGCAAAGACAATTCAAGAATTTCAAAGTAGAAAAATTTCTATTATTAAAATTTCAGTGTTTAAAGATTTTGATATATAGTGTGGTCAATTTTAATCAATCCATTGGAATAACTTGAAGAATATACATCCTAAAAAAGTTCATTAACCAAAAATGTTAGACTTTAAAGGGACCAGAAGATGGGACTATCAGTTTCATCGTAGATGATGCTAGAATTGATGCAAATGGATTCAACTTCATTTTCTTAAATAGGAATTCCATTTTTTATTGCATGTTATGATTGAATGTATGAAAACAAACAAACTTTTATAAAAAATATCTTTACACAGATACACTAATCAGAAGTTACGAACATTTGATGCAGCCGCTACACCCACGAATCTGTGATTATCTATGAATTTTGCTAAAAAGGGACAAAAATCATTAGCAAACTATTATTTGGTGGACACATTCTTTTTCAAATAACAAACTAACACAAAACTAATACCACAATATATTAAAGTCATCAAGCTTACAATAATGTTGTTCTTGATTTCACAAAATCAGGAGAACCACCATGAGAAGTTATGGGGAGTTAAGTCTGAACTCCACTCGTGCAGTCCTCTTCTGTTGTTCCACTTTGCTGGGAATCTTTCATCAAGCAACTTGTTCATTAGTTTGGCAGAATGTGACTTAGCACTATCCTGCATGAAGTGACGTTTTTCAATGTTGTTCCATTGCAAAGTCATGGGCCACACCCTATTCTCCAGCATATCATAGTAGCATACTGCATTCATTGTATCTAGCAAAATCTAGTAAAACAGCCAAATAACGTGTTCCAGCTCACATATGTCTTTAGGCTGATACTGAGCTTCTTTTGCTTTGAGTTTTGATTTCATCTTGTACTGATAAGTATAGTTATATCCATTGACAAAATTACCAACATGAAATATTGCTTCATCACTCCATAAGATAGGAAAATCAACCAGAGTTGTTTCAGAATGTCAAGCTTAGTGCAATCCCTCCAAATTTCATTTATTGATTGCAATATTTAGGGCTTATATCCATGTCATAATATGGTATCTAGGAACAAGATTGCATGTTTGTTTTCAGAAAACCATTAACTGTGTAACATGTTAGTCCAGTCTCACATGCTGCCTGCCAGATGGACTTATTGGAATCCTGCTGTAAGGTCTTCTGCATATTACCCACAGTTTTATATTACCACAGTATAAGTTATCTGCCAGACCTCAGCTTGTTGGCAGCTGAGCCAGTGGTCATTAGCTCTTGATGGTTTCAATTCAGAAGTGAATAATATCCATTCAAGGATCTTCATCATCACTGCACAAGTACAGAGGATTTCCAGAACTGTAATTTGTGGAAATTCAGATGCAGTTGAGCAGGGAATCAATCAAACATGGTTTTGAAAATGGTGTTTTCAGACTAGGAAGTTTGGCTTTCACAATACATGCCCAAATTTCTCAGAAATAAGCTATCTGTTGACTTTTATTTAACATAAGTTTGTATTTATAGATATTAGTGTTTTTAAAAATATTACTTATGAAACACCCTGTAGAACTTAAGTATTACATTTTAAAATATCTGATCATAAGACGTAAACATTCATTTTAATCTTACTAATACTTTTCAGAAGTAAATATCAATATCGACTAATCTTTTCTAATATTAATACAAATTTAATTGAGTAAGAATTCATTAAAGTTTATTGTTATTTTATGCAAATACATATACTGAGAAATTGATTGCCTTTAAAAATAATAATAAATATATACTATTGATATTATAACTTTTCATAGTTAAATAAAGATCATTATATGAAATATTTTTATTAGAAATTCTGTGAGATTAGCAATTAGAAAAATTATGTATGCTCCGAGTCGTCAAGGCGAACAACCAAGCGTCGAAGTCAGTAAGGAGTTCATGATGTCGCCTAATAAATTACATCTTGAAGCATCTTTGGATAAGGAGGTATATCAAGATTATGAATTATACATAGCAATACAATATTTATTATATGTAGGAAAGTTTTAAAGCTTTATAGGTTAATATACAATGATGATATACTTTTGTCCACTTTGGACATTCTTATTAATTAGGACTTGTTATATTGAGGGACAAGAAAAACAATTTCCAATTGAAATACATTTACTGTAACATAATTTGAAATTGTACTTTTCTCTTCCCTCAGTACATTGAGTCCTAGGTCACAAGAACAAAGTGGACAAAAGTATAATATAAGTATTTAAAGATAAGAAGCACATATCAAAATGACAATAGAATTTATTCTGGTTACTTTTAGTGTAATTTTTCATATTATTAAAAAGAACATGTTTTTATATTTACACATTATATCATCTTCAATAAAAATTAATATTAATATAATGTGATTATAATAAATACAGTAAAATCTCTAATTCAACATACGAGTTATCATCTCGTATATCAGACTGGTGGGTGGCTGTCACATTACTGGATTTTGTAAGTTGTATACTGTACAGTAAAAAAAATGCAGTTCACAGGTTAGTTTACTGTGTTGATCACAATTGTCACTGTTTTGCTAATTGCACATCCAATAAATAACTAGTGACTGACAATATATATGTACTGTACATCAGTCTCTGTCACATACATCGACGGGACGCAACACAAAAATTTCACAAACACCATCCTGTAGAATATTGGATTACTGGATTTGTTGGACTGGCAAGTAGAGGCTCTACTGTACTTAAATTTCTTACAATTTTTGTTCTGTACATTTGGGAATTACCATCTGATGATTGTTTCTCTTCTAAAAATTTCTGTCTACATTAATTATAAGTTTCATCTTTTAGTTTTGATAATATTTATATATAAATGTGCATTGACCCATAATGATTGATTATAGCAAAGAAAAACATTATTAGATGATATACAAAAAAATGGATTTATATGGATACGTATTTTAATTTCTTTTAAATATTGATTTGTATTTGGAATTTGGAGCACACTATTGTGCTTATGACATTTTTGAGAAGTATAAATGTTTCATGTTTGATCTTTTAACATGCATGGAATCAATTAGAAAGTTTAATTTTAACAAACAGTATTGTAATATTGTTACTGTAACTAGATAAAATTGTTCTAATAAATATTATTTGCATTAAAAAAAAATTGCTATGAAATTAAAATATTATCACAATGATTACTTCAGAATTATTTATTATTATATTTTCTAGTTATATCATCATGGAGAAGATATAGCTGTAAATGTGCACATTGCAAATAATTCTAATCGAACAGTGAAAAAAATAAAAGTATCAGGTCAGTATTTAATGTTAGAAGTTTAAATTTTCAATAATGCAAACTGTTGAAACATATCACACAACATAAAATTAAATTAATCAAGGATCAACTTCTAATAATTATAATTTAATTATAAATTTATGTATACATCTAAACATTAATTAAAATAAATTTTAACAATGTAGATAATAAAAATTACATATAATTCTAAAAACAAAAAAACTATCAATTAACCAAATCATTGCAATTAAAGATACAAGCTTAGTGTTTAATGTGTGTTCCCCTTCAGTTTTATGCTGCTTCTGCTATTCCTATCAAAGTGGACAAGAATGACAAGCAGCATGGGCTGTCAGTGTTTGTTTATTTGTTCTATTTGATTTTTAAATACATTCCTTTTTTTATGGACACTAAAATATTTACTTTGTCGACAACAAAGTGGAAATAATTAATTTGTTGAAAAAGGGGGCATTTAGAGAAGAAAATTATTGTAACAATAAGAATGATTTGGTTTTTATTAACTTTTTTATGCAAACAAGAATGGTTGCAACAGAAAAATTTATTAGTAAAAATTACTTTGTCGTTAAATTTATTACAGGATAGCTGACTTTTAGTAAAATTTTCTTAATAATAACTTTTAGAGAAAAACAAATGTCTTTTAGTCCATATTTTATAAGTTTCTATTCTAGAAATTTTATAATTACTAATTCTTTCTTTAAAAGAAAAATATTGAAGGAATTTTAAAAAATATCATAGCTCACTATTGGAATTTTATTTATTTATTGTACAGTTAGGAAATGTCCATAGATAGATGATTTCCACCACCCATTTTAACAATTATATCCACTTGTAGAATTCTGTAAGATGGCTATTATGTTTAAAAATAATAGTGAAGATAAACTCTGTTTAAAAAGGAACCACCATTTATTCCAGAATGCAAACTTTTGACTTGGTTGCAAGTAGCAACTGGATCCTGGATCCATTTGCCACTTGCAACTATTACATCACCAATCCAGCCAGCCATGGTTTGTGGTGTGATGCATTTTCTGCAAGCAGGACAGTGCCAGCCACCAAGGTTCATCATTTGATTGTGTCGTGCCTGTGATAATGTTTTGAGTGTCAATTTAGTGAAGGATTGGTGAAGGAAATTCAGAGTGGCTGCACATATGTCATCCTTGTCGCTACTCATCATGCACATTTGGTAGCAGTTAATCAGTCATAAGTATTAATTACTTATGCAAGTAATGCATAAGTAAATAATGATAAATGTTGTTTCATGATTTCAGAACTTTCTGATGAATTTCCTCAATTTTCATAGAGTATTATTTTGAATTGTCAAAGAGATATTGGATTCTCAGAAGTCCTGTGCGAAGTGTATATCAAAACAACTGAATGTTTACAAAACTAAAAACTACTGTTTAGCTTTGGCATTTATTCTGTACTGCTGGGAAGAAGGGAATAAGTTTTTCTGATTAGAATTGTTACTGAGGGATGATAAATGTATTTAATTCCCAAATACAAAGAAGCATCAACTGTTTTGACTGTTTCTTCAAGTCATTCTCAAAACAAGCCCAGAAATTCAAATAAAAAAATGATGGCCACAGTATTCAAGATGCACCAGGAAATTTTTTAAATGAGATTCTTGGCACCAGGGACCACAATAATGTCAAAAGTTTATTGTGAAACATTGAAGATGTTTCAGAGGTAAATCCAAAACAAAAGGTGTAGAATACTCACTAAGGTGTTCTCCTCCACGACAACATGTAGGTTTCACACTACAGTTCACACAAAGGCTTACTTGAAGTTCATCTGGAAGATTTTTGACCACCCTTCTTATGGTCTCAAACTTGGTGCCGAGCGATTACCATCTCTTCAGCAAGATGGTCTGACTGGCCGTCCAGTGTTTGAAACCAATAAAGGAGCTCGCAGATGGAGTCAGCAACTGTCTGGATAACTTGGTGATACCATTCTTTGACAAAAGCTGGTGCTATGGTATACCAAGTGCCTGATTTTCACATGATGTGTGCTTTGTATGTAATAAATTTTTTTTTTTCTGTATTTGTGACTTTTTTCCAGCCAATCTGAAGTTGATTTTGCAATATCCCTTGCATATTGTAGTTGCTACAAATAAAAGAATGTTATACAATTTTCTGTAAATTTTCTAATTCTGTGAAACTTAAATTATAATCAAACTTGATCAATCTGTTTATAAGTTGACATGATTATAGATTATAGTACCAGGACTTTTAGGCAATGCTTTCTTTTTTGTATGAATATAAGACAAGATATTAAAAGTGAAAGCTTGTATCGGTCACTCACTTATTTGTGATCTAGAGTATAACTGATGATTCCATATTCGAGAACTTTTTAGACTATATTATTTTCAGTTTTTAGCAGATATATTTGTGCGCCATGTTATTAACCTTGTTATTAGATGTTAAACACACATTAATGACCAGTTATGGTTTATCAAAATGGAAAATCTATAAATTTTGTTAAATAAATGATGATATTGTGTTTAATCATGACAGAATGATCCATACTTCAGTTCAGTTAATTTTATAATTATAGTGAAAGCTTTTATATTTTAAATGCAATTTAAAATTTTTAACAGAATTAATTTTTCCTCCCGTTTAGTTCGACAATTTGCTGATATCTGTCTCTTCTCAACAGCACAATATAAATGTACAGTTGCTGAAATTGAAAGCGAGTAAGTTTGATTTTAATATATTTATTATTTATGTAAAGTAAAAGTCTAAAGGAAACTCCAACATTTTTTTTGTATTTTTATGTTCCATAATATGCAAATTAAATTGGCCAAAATTATAAAAATGATGTACTGTACCAAGAAAGTTAAAGTTCAATCACAGAAAAAAAACATTCAGGTAAATATTTCAGTCACCAAATTCTTCAAATGGGGTGCACAATAAAGTACAAACTTATAAATGAAATAACATCCACTAAACATGTTGTTTAGTGGATGTTAACCAGGGCTGTGGAGTCGCGTAAAAATCTACCGACTCCGTCCAGGGGCGGACTTATTACCAAAAGAGACCCAGAAATTCTGATGTCATCACGTGACCTCAGAATAAAATATTCAATAAATAGAGTTCTAATAAAGATAGAACATAGAAACTTTTTATTCAAAAGCTATAAGACTCCTCTAAGTAATATATAAACATGTATTCAATAATTTTTACTTTTTCAGCTGCTATATATAACGGGGAAAGTGTAGCGCTTGGTCAAAAAATGAACCCTTCCAAATTTTTACATTTTTGGACTCGGGACACCTTGAAATTTCGAGATATACAAAAGATTCAAGGTTTTTTCTATATGTGTGGGTGTTAAACTGTGTGTGCGGGGCATGATTTCGTTCACCCTATTTGAAGCCTAATAATTTCTGTGGTCNTTTTTTCTGTTTAATATTATTGGGTATGTATACATTTGCATTAAATTAATATTAAAATACTAAACGTTTAGGTACCCACGAGTCAAGATATTAAACTTAAATAATCCAATAAATGGCGTCCGAATCCATAGTGCCAATGAATGTATCCCGTATCAGTTCATTCAGGAAAACACCTTACGATGCAATAGCACTTCCGGTGATCACAAATTATCGTTAGTGAGACAAATCTACTTCTCGTTGGCCAGACAATATTTATCTCTCCTTAGCCACCTTGAATTTTCCCGCTCAAACTGACCTTATATATGTGCTACGGCGACTGGTGGTCGACCAATCAGTGTCTTTGCTCGTCCGTAGCTCTATGTCGGGTTAATGAATCCTTTCAACTAAGGAAAGTTTGACGGATGAAGTTTGTGAGTTAGACAATGTTGGGAGCGAAGTGCGAATGTAAAAAGGAGCATCATATTCGACCATATTCCGAAATTCTTAATGAAAAATCAAAAATGTAAACAATTAAAGATGGATACTTTTTTCCGAAAAATGTAAGAAATTCGAAACTAAAATTTTTAAATAAAAACATTTTACTTTATTTTATGATAAAATACATTTTAAAAATTAAAAATTTATATGTATTTTGTATTATATTGTATTAATAAACAAAATTATTAGCTTATTTTTCACTTATGTAGAACCTAACCCTATACCTCACTGTAAATAC